AATGGAAATGCCTTTTGACTTAGTCTCAATGATGTTAGGTCCAGTCTCATCTGTTCCGACACTTCGTAATTCTATTGGTATGTTATTCACTACCGCTGTCGTGCGTCGTGTACTTTGCGGTCGTCGTGATGGATTCTTATCAAGCTTATTATTTATACCCTTGATTGGTTTTGCTGTCACAGTAGGTCGCTTCGCGGGCGAAACTTTCTGTCGAATGTCCAGTTTGTCGCTTATGTGAATCACTTCGCCAGGCACTTGAACGCCCGTCACAAAACTGTTGATGCCTGTGGCCACCAAGTTCGTATGGTCTGTTGGGCGTATGCGATTTGAAAACCCGGCCTTATTCTCTTTAACCACCTGCAATGAGACAGTCGGCGCGGTCTCGGTCATTTTGTTAGTAGTTATAATCTCGAAAACGCGGTCTGGTTCGTGTGCTGTATTTGTAGTAACGGTCGCGAAAGGATCTTGTTCGATCCACGGACTCAAGTCGAGGAGCGCCAATGCGCCTGTGCCGCACACTTGGCGCTCATTTCCTGCAATATCTGTAGGCAAGAATACATGCGGTTGCATGGTACCACCACCAACGGTACGACAAAGAACCTGCGCCAATGAAACCTGTCTAATTGATTGCAGTTGCGCAGGTGTGAACGAATTTTCAAAGCCGCCATTTTCATACCAGAAACGATCACCTTTGCGCGAATTGCTGAATTGCTGAGCAATGATGCAAGCGAATGTCGGACCTACGAGCCCGCCCACCACAGGACGTTCAGCTATACCGCCGACAAAAAGATCAATGTCGTGGACACTGCGATAGGCATGGCTAATGCGCTGCGCAGACTGTGGCCCAACGACATTGGCGAAGTCTTCCCAACTGTTTATGGGCGTGAGCCCACATGGTACACGCCACGAGGTGTAGGGTGGTACACCATGATCACGACCGCGTTGTATATTAATGGCCGCTAAATCCAAACCGAAGGGGAATCCTGTGAATTATGGAATAGATGTTGAATGATCTTTTGAAGCTGTTGTATGTGTGGCAGCTACCTGGGGTTTGAAAAAGATGATTAGTCAGCTCTGGTGTTATGAACTCATCACGCTTGAGCGCACGCTGGTTCACTAAGCCACGTAACAGGCGATGCAGCGAGCCCGGCGACCCAATGTCACCACGCTGGAATTCCTCGTGTAGGCTGACATCTAAAGAGATTGTAATATTTAGTTTTCCAAGCTTTGGACTATTTCTCTCCTTCAATACTTACTGTTTCGCATAAAATTGTGAAACCGGTCACAGCGCATGTAGGAATTTTGCACCAACGAATGTCCGAACCGAAATGCGGCTGCTGCAAATGAATTCGCTACAGTTGGATTCGTTTTGGGATCGTAGCCTTGGTAAAAGCCACTGCTCAGCAATTCTAAGTCAAACAATCTGCACACCTCGCGTCCCAACACAATCGGCAAGAACTCCCTGTAGGTAATGTGTTGAAACATGGCGCCTATTATGCGACGCGTTTCCTGATAAATCTTTTCGTCACTCCAGTGCAAGTTCATTTCACTCAATTCCATTGCAATGCGATTATGCTCCCCAACCCAGACGTGGTGTAATGCCAACAAGCCCGGCTGTTCGCCGCTGCGCCCATCACCAGCGCGTATGCACTGCGTGGCTATAGCGCCGCGATGACACACATCCTCCGCAGGATTACCGCGACCATACACCAACAGGCCATTGCGGAAGACCCGCGCATTGTCGGACGACTTGACGCTGTTCGAATAAATGGGCGAGGCGTCTATGTATGAGGTGGCTTGATTGGTTTGTTCGCGCCACGAAAGCACGCAGTCTCTGCGCTGTGCTGGCGCGGAGCGCAAAAATTCCAAGCAGCGCACCTTGAGCGGCGCCAACCAAGGATCATCCAACGGCACTTTGATGGGAAAGCAAGACGGGTGGAAATCGGTATTGCCGCAGCAGCTCGGCACCGAGCCATTGATCGACCTGTGAGAAAAATTAAAAGAATGCTGTGCGGAAAAACTATAGCAAGCAGTGAAACTACATACCTCGGTTGCGCTGTTGATGTCATATCGTGATCGAGCAGCTGTCCCCATTGCGCGGTCATCAGCGTTACAACAGCTTCACCATCACGCGCACCATGCACCAACAGACTGACGAAGCGCGAAGAGGCTAAAGCTCCACCCTCTACAGACAGCCGTATCGAGTCGACGCCATCGCCATACTCCGGTGGCAAAAAACGATTGAATGGCATTTGTGCGGCACCCCATCGTGGCCGACGTTTGCTGTTGCAAGTACCATCGTGTGTGCGGTAACGCGCCGAGGCGGGCATGCAGGTAGGCGGATCGCGTGGTGGACAAAGTCCTTCGAGCGCAGTGTGTCGCAGTGAAATCTTCGATGAGTGCGCCTGCCGTGCCAAGTCATTGAAGTATTTGTAGCTGCAACAATGAAGCGAATATGAAACGGCAGTCTACTTTTTTTCAATGAGAGGATCCTTTGCTACGGTCAATGTAAATATTTAATTTAAAAAATGCCTGCGAGTGTGCTTGCGCTTCGTTGCGTCTTCGACTCATCATTTGACATCGCTGTGACTGTTTCACTTGAAATGAATGGCAAACCTGGAGTTTGTCTGTATTTAAGCGCCCGACTTGCATTTAGTATGCGCCATGGTAAGTAGTTGGTTGGTATACCGTTAGCAACAACATTAATAGCCGCGTTGGAGCTGAGAAAGCGCAGCGGCGACGGATGTAATGGCAGTATGGCGGTTGAAACTTGCTTTGAACAAGTTCGAAAAGCTCACCTCTTGCCCGCACCATTTTGGTGCGGCTCATCACCCCATGCACCACTAATTGCCGGGTATGCGTTCCATTGCATGCCTAGGTGGCGACAATTGCCTACACCAAAATGTTTGCAGCAACAACTGGTGCGCAGCTGCAGAGTCAGAGTCAAGCTTAGCGTCATTAAAATTGCCGCGTTCACAGTCGAAGTCCAAATTCATAGGCGCTTCTTGCCTGCTGATGTATTCATTTGTGTCTATTTATTTAGTTATATTTATGACTTTTTTTGTTTGGGCTTTTTAATGATCTTTTTGGAAAAAGAAATGGAGAAAGTGGAAACGGCTTTTCATTTGCAATGCTACAAAGACAATTCATATGACAATAACAATAAAAAAATGCATAATGTTTTAACGGGTTCAACGCTGTGTCGCAGGGGCCGTACGATAATCGTGATGGTGCAACTTGCAACGTCAAGACTAGGGATGTTAATTTTTTCGCTCTTAACGATCCCGGGATCTAGATATTCAATACTTTTCAACAACTTAAATCGAAAAAAATTGCGTCTATATTGTTTGTGAAGCCCTCCATAAAATAAATAATAAAAAATGGGTTTGAAACCTACTTTTTTACTAAAAGAGGCCTTTTTATTTTTTCTCTCTGACGTTAAGATTTATTTGTAATTTCAAAGATTAGGTTAATTCCAAAAATTATTTAAAAAAGTCAATGCAATGAGAATAAAAATATGGGTACCAAATGAAAGAGGAAATTTCTTTAGAACTTAAAATAATTAAACTTTTTTGAATTGACAAGGATGAATAGGTAATTTTTTAAGCCGATAAAGCTAGAAGGACGAAATTCGAGGAAGTTATCGAGTTTATATAAGTCCTTAACATATAATTTTTTCAAAAACAAATATTGCAAAATTTCAAGGATAAAATTTTAAAAGGACATTTTAAATACTTACCAGTGATTATGCACCAAAAAATTGAATCTGTTTAAATTCTTCTGAATTTCCTCTTTAATGTGATACCCATACTTTTTTTATAGCCAATAATGGCCAAGAAAAGGAGTCTCTATTATTGTCATCAGTGCAAATTATAAATCCCGGGATTATTTGCCAAGAATCCCGTGATTTTCGGCACCTCATAAAGGCCGGGATCCCGGGATTAACATTCCTAGTCAAGACATTGACCAGCTTTGTACACACATCATATATGTACGTATATTTATGTGCGCTTACATACATACAATGTATACGTACATACATACTTACATATATCAGGTTACAAGCTTAATTTTTACAAGGCAATTCTGACAACTGTCTTTCACCTCACCACAGTCTTTCGAAAAACAAAAGTCTATTCTGGCAACTATCTTAAAAGTACTTTACTGTCTTTTGAAATAATAATTGAAAGATCTGCCAACGAGGAGGTCTTATTAGCGTTAGCCTTTTAAGTTTTTTCTTTAATAAATTAAATTTAAAAAGCATATACAAAACAATCAAAAGTAATAAATATAAGAAATTTAAATAAAAAATAATAAAAGATTAAAATATAGAAAAAAATAATAAATAAATTTAATTTAATTCAAAGATAATTTTTTTCTTTATTACTTAAATAAAAAAAATAAAAAAGTTCCACCGCCCGAGACTCGAACTCGTGATTTTTCGAACGGCACGCCTATGTTCTGGTCACTCGGCCAATGCGACTGTTGGAGCGTCGCGAGTTAAATGACATACAAGTGCTTTCTCTCAAAATATTTTTTCACCACTTTTTTGCTAGAATAACAAACGTCTTTCGAATCATCTTGCCATCGGTCTTTCATTTGTCTTACAAAAGACTATTTAGTGTCTAACTGCCATACCTAAACAAAAGCGTTGGGTGGAGCATTGTCTGACGCCTAGCGTTACCGCCGAAGTGCCATACCTAAACAACAGCGCCAACGCTACGTCAAGAAATGAGACCAACAACAAGCATGGGTTTGTTTGTGTGAAATACGGAGTTACCAGTTTCGCCGTTTTCTGCAGCCAACTTCACTTCCTAACGTCCTGTCAAAATCGGACTTTCCAACCGCTCAGAGTTGACGCCGCGTTATTTCGGTATGCTTCATACAAATTATATGGGCATGGGAAATTTTTGACAACCAGACAACGTTGACGCTTTTCTTTAGGTATGGCAGTTAGGCAGAATTGCCCTGTCAGTTTAAGTGCCTACATTTATTGGCGGGTTTACGTACTTTTCTTTGGTCCTTTAACATCTCAATACCAAATGAGAGGCTTTTTTACGTGCAACTTTCGAGTTCAAAAGAAAGTGATTGGTGCCACTAAGTAGAGTGTTGTAACAAAAGTCTTAAAAAAAGGTTAGTCTACTTAGCCGTTCGTATTCTCTGATCTGAAACTATACACATATGAATAAAAAATATGTGTACATAAGTATGCACAATACGTAATTTCAGAAATAAGAATCCTTCATAAAATTCATTACCGATTCAATAACGCTGTAGTTATAAATATTTATCAAAAGCAGCC